CGATTCTCCCCCATCCCACCAGGGGGGAGTGAGCAAGCGGCTGGGTGGGGCTTAGTTGCCAACTGGGGTTAAACCACGACAACCGCCCACAATCATTCTCCGCATGTTCACTTGCGCTGCTCTTTCCTAGCAAAGATGTTGTAAAAAAAAAAAAAAGTACATGAGAAGTAAAATGTTACTTGCTATTACTACCCTAACCGGCACGGCTTGCTGCAACAAAGCCGACGGGGTCTTTGAAGTACCTCGGGTCACTACTGGGTGCTATTTAGAGGTAAAGGTCAAGTTTGCCTGTAAACTGACTGGTGTATAGAAAACCAAAAGTTAAAACTTGGTTCAAACGTAAAGGGCACAGTAACCTGCAGCGCGAGCTCAAAAAGCGGCACAGAAATTCCAGTTCCGGCTTAGGAGACCACGTCCCCTCCTGCTCCGAAAACACCTCGCGCCGCTTGGCCAGGCTGCAGAAATGGGACACAAGATATTACGGACTCATAAAGCATGGTGTAAAACACAGAAAATACCTGGCCAGCAATTTCACAGAAGATCATCTTACAAATTTTATGTCTTTGCTATATAGACTGGGCCTCATTTTTTCCACGCCAGGATAGACATGCAGAACAGATATGCAGAACAAAACAGTTGCGCTCTCAGAGCTATTGAGGAACGGTGAGGAGAGAAGCAGGGCTGCAAAGTTCTGCCTAATTCTAAGCCTAGGACTAAAAGCCATGTAGTTACTCATCTCCCAGACGATTTTAAGCAGCTTTGAACCAGAGCACCTTACTCCCCGAAGGTGGGAGGGCTTCTGTTAATGAGGCCTTTCTGAGTACGGTGACTAAACTTGGATATCACCTAGTTGGCTTCATTATGTCCTAGCTCAGCTTTTCTCTCACCTAACACTGATGGATTCAATCTTTTCAACAAATGTTCTAATGCAAACTCTATCCCCTTAGGTCAGTGTCAAACGATAATATATATGTTGCTTTTGGAACCCTGAAACCATAAAGCAAGCTACACGGGTCAAAATTATTTGGTATGATTTACTGGGGGTTTGCATACGGTAAACTAATTCTGGTGAGGAGGAATTATACTGCAAAAGGCCAAGTTCTTGTGTCTGTTTAGATTTATTTTTGTCAAGAGAAATTTTAACTTCTAAATTCTGTTAGCAACTGGGGCCTTGTAAAAGCGGCGGGGCCTTGTAAACAGAGTCTGGTCAGGAGGAAGTGCTCTCAGCGTCCCATGGCAGAGCTTCACGCGCTGAGCCAAAGCGAACACAATCCCTGAAGGAGACATGGAGAAAACCGATAAAAACAGGTGCAGACACCACGGCTAGCTTGCTGCTTTCAACAATCTGTTTAAAATTAAACTTACGGATACACTTGGGCTCCCACCGGACCCAAGCAGAGCCGATGAATCACTGGGAAGTGACAGCCTCCCCGTCTCACCTTCCTGCCCCGCGCTTTGCACAAGGGCAGTAGCACTTGGGAAAGCCGCAGGCAGGGGAGCACCGAGCGCGGTCACTGCCGGGAGAGGCAGGCGCTAGCAGGCAGAGATCTCCTTCCTCCCTACAAAAGAGCTCGTCAGGACAAACATTTCCAAACCAAGAGACAGCGTCTCCATTCAGAGGGCTGGTTCGGTTTCTCCACCCTCCTTACACAGCCAGCGTTCAGGCTCATTTTGTTATGCTTGTAACGTTAGTAATTACCGCAACGCTTTGCCAGGGCAATGCCACAGCTGCACACAAGTCCGTTATCTACCATTCTATTCCTGCAGCAGACGCATATAGATAAAAAGAAGTCCGAGTGTTGTCTTCCTGGGTTGTTTACAGTCCAAAAAGACAAGCGTGCCACCGCACCTAAGGGGAAGCTAAAACCCTCCCCTTGCAGAGCCGCAGGCAGGTCACGGGAGATGAGGAATTACAGAAAGACACTGATAGACCTGGAGCTGGGAAAGAACATTACATTCAGTTAAATGTTGCTTAGTACCTGACAGCTAGGGCGGCACCACGAGAGCCAGCTTTAATTGCAACTGTCAGTTTAAAATCTAAACAGTTCCAAGTTAAAAAGCCCAGAAGAAAACATTTGGCTTAGATGAGTCACTGCTTCAGAAGCTAAGCAAGCAGAACGGAAGCCAAAAGAAACTGCAGAAATTCTAGGTCAGTAACCTGCTCAGAATTTAGTGTAATTAATAACCACTCTTTGCTTGAAGACATCTCTGGAAGGCAACGGCCTCCCAGCTGAAGGGACAGAGTTCAAGCAGATGCCGCCCCCCCCCGCTGGAGCTGGGGTTCCCATCCTTCCACCCGTGGTGGTTTCTGATGACTTTCCAATTTTAAAATACTAAAAGATAAAAGCAATCAGAAATAGAAAAGATACTAACAGTGACGCCTTTAGCACAAAACTTCGCATGTGAGAAAAAGCATACTGGCTGTTGGTAAATTAAGCATTTAAGTTACGCAATACCCTTTAGTATCAAGATGACTTTCTACAGTCAACCTGTTAGTAACTGTTCTAGCAAAGCCTCAGCACCGGTAAGAAACTGCTGATGGTGCTGCAGAGTAAAAAGCAATACTTTCCAACACGCTTCCCAAATACCAGCACAGAGACGTTAGAGGTGATGTTAAGTAACTGATGCTTAAACTGGGCAGCAATTGTGTTGACCCTGGAGGGAAGGAGAGGAAGGGTTGTACTAAGCCTTGGTGCCCCAGCTCTGAGGCGGCTTGCAGCGTTACCTGGTCACCTTTGCTCTTCGCTTTTGGGAAAACCAAGTGTTCAAACCGTGGGCTCTTTCAGCCGCTGCGACCCCCGAGGGGTCCGTGCGATGTCAGGCTGCAGGACTGCCAGGCTGCACGGTGACAGTTTCAAAGAATCACTTCTACACTGGACTTGCATGAGACACCACGACTTAGAGAATAGGAAAGTGAAAGGGATGTGTTAGAATAAGCTGCCTGAAGTAGAGTACAAAACCGAAACCAAAATTCAAGGCCTCACTGTGACTTATTTAATCCACACAGAACTGCCTGAAGGGGTTGTCTTCATATGCTCCAATAAATTTCACTTCATGATAAATAGGGGGGGGTGGGGGGGTGGAAATCAGCAAAAGCAGCAATTTTCAGATGGTTAACCATCTGAAAAAAGCAGCCGAGAACAACAGAGGCGCATAACCAAGCACAGTGACGCACTCTCAACCTCGACTCCAGATCCCCCTTTAGCTAGCTGGAGCGGATGAAAGCGCTGCTGCAGCACCGGTGCCAGAATGAAAGGTGACTCCTCGTTTCTTCAGCAAGAGGCAAGGGAGCCCCAGGCTTTATGTTCCCCAGAATGAGAAGATTTGCTCTTTTTGCACATCTTTCTCCATGAGGTAACCAGAAGGACAAAGAAATCGTGATACAATGCGACCATTAACTCCAAAAGCCAGAAAGGCAGGAGGCCACAAAGAGCATTAAAATCTTCCCTAAAGCTCACGGCCGTTTCAGACACTTGTTTCACCCGTAGCTTGCTTGCCTTTTTTAAAAAAATAATAATAATAATAAAAAAATATCTCCAGAGGCCCATAAAATACCTGGAAGAAGACAAGGGACTTCTGTTTTCCAGGAGAAGCAAAAAAACCCACCTAAAACTAACACCCCCCCCCTCCAAATATGTCAGACTAAGAGCAGAGAAGTGCCGATTAACCAAACCCAAGCAGGTGAGACGCCCCTGTGCTCCAGGGAAGCGATGTCCTGGCTCACAAAACCTCAGCCCCTCGGGAGCACTATCCAGTTCTGCTGAAGGAGCTGCTGACAAGGAAGAATAAATATTTTCATATCCAAAGTTCAGTTTACCTACTTTCCATCATTTGCTGCCAGTGCTAGAGACTGACGGCAAATTATCCAGACACGCATTATTACATGACAGCGGAGATGTGTTTGGTTGTATTCCTCAGTCTCTCAGGCAGACTTTTTGAGTCAATATGAGATTTGAGAAGGTCTGTTCACAGCTGTGCAATAAAGACATTTACTATGAGCGTTATAATGGATGTGCCAAAGATGATATCCAATTCAAACCAGTAAAAACCTCCAGAACAACTTTCTCTCCACTAGCTTCAACCCATATGCATTTTCAATATGCTCCAAGGATCTTACTTCGACAGAAGACAAGCTGTGACCGTAAACTTTTTTTTTATGCCAACAAAGCAGCTTAATATAAATTACACCTGGTGTGTTTAGCTAAAGTGACCCCCCTTCCCCCAATTCAAAGTACACCTTTAGACCGGGGGTGGGGGGAAGAATGGAGTGTTTCAGGCACTAAGAAATAGCTTTATGGCTCCGGCACCCTCATCCCTTTGGAGACGATGTCACTGTTTACTTTCAGTAACGAAGGCTGAGCTCCCCCGGTCACTCGTTACTCAGCAAATTTTCTCTCTCTTTAGTCATTTGTGTTTCTGCTCCTGAAGTTTGCGCAACAGTTCAACGTCCTTACGCTGCTGATACCTGCACCTAGACACACTCCTCTGGTTGTGGTCGGACCTACGTCTTTTACAAAGCCAACAGCTAACTGAGATCTCCTACATATAACCATTAGTATCAGAAGAGAACGAACGCAGGATCTTTTGGTCCCACTGCAAGCTCATTTTCAGAGCCACCGCTCCTCATTCATAGTAATCTTGCACTCAGCCAAACAAAAATATCCTGTTTTTACAGCAAAATTAACCTAACCCACAGCTGAAAAAACCTCAGACGTTCAGCTGAAGTTCACTTCACACAAATAACCTCAGCCAATCCACTCTGGCGTTTGAACGCTTGGCGGTCGTTTCTAGAAGTTAGGGTGTGCAAGACCGGTGCAAGGAAGTTCGAACCACACTGGGCAGAAAAACTTCAGGAGGTCAGCGTTATTACACTTCTCCCTCAAAGACCGACACGCACAAGGGTTTCTTCGACAGCTGGCCTCCTCCTCACCGAGTCCGAGCCTGCTGCAGCGTGAACGGGGTTTTTCTTCCCCCGTTCCCCTGCACACCGGTGCCTGCACAGCAATAGCCCGCAGTCGCCTGTCTGCGTTAACAGCCGATGAAGCAGCAGGTCTGTCTGGAAGTTCTGCATCACAACTGAAGTCTCTTCCATCTCGTGGGGATACAAACGGTTCCCGTATTGAGCCATTAACCTATTCCAAGCCTTCACGCTGGAGGATTAAAAGCCATTATTCCCACAGAATTTGCAACAGACCTCTGTGCACTTTGTGGTGCAGTTAAGGCAGGAATCCAACAGGATTCCGGCTGCTGCCAGCTGCAGTGACTCACCGAGAAGCGGCAGCACAACAGGCACAAGCTGAAGGTCCTAATCCACCCCACTTCACCTACGAAATGATCGTAGCTGAGCAGATGCTAGAGGAGGTTGACTGTTGACACCGGTGTGGTGAAGGGGAAGGAGAAGAACCTGGAATAGCCCTACTGTAGAGATGCAACATGATGTAAACCAGCAGGCCGTCAAGAACATTTAAAAAACTTGTCAATAAAACAAGCGTCAATGATATTGTAAGAACCGGCTGATGCTTTGAAGCACGCCACAGATCCAGAACTAAAAAGACTAACCTTAAGTGAATTGGATGTATTATTATTCAAGAAGCAAGAAGAGGATTTTTAACCCCAAGTTCCTGAGAAAATGAAGACATGAAAAACGGCTTGCAAACTCTGCCCTCCAGAAAAGGAACAGCAATCCAAGTACAGGGATCCGGAACGAATAACGGAGATGGGAAAAATTAAAGATAATGAAATGCAGACCCAAAAGCTGTGTTTATTGAGAGATAGGGAGAACCCGCAGAAGACTAAAAAAACCACTTACTAATGGCTGTGAAGGATGGAGCAGTAGCCAGGAAGAATGGGGTACATTCGACCAAGAAGAGGTTGTTACGCTACTACAAGCTACGGAGAGCTTGCAGCTGGATGTTCCAACCCAGAGCCTGCACAGCGCCTGCCCGGGGTAGGTCCCCCCACGCAGCTCAGCCCGGCAGCCTGTCAGGGCCGAGGAGCGGTGGTCCCACTGCCCGGCTCCTGCGCTCCCAGACCTTCCCAGGCCGAACCTGCCCCGCGCGCTGCTCCCCCAGTCCTTTCCGTTGGATGTTTTCTGCTGTGCTGGCAATCAAACCAGCTCTCGTGGCAGAGTACCAGAGCCAAGGCGCGGTACGGAGCCGGAGCACATGCGCAGCAGCCGGTACGGCCAAGGGCAGCCGCCCTTTCGGGGAGCAGGCGGCTGCTCGGCTGGCTCAGCTGGTGCCGCACTACTTCTTCCAGGCATCAGTCTCAAGATGAAGACCTGCTAAGAGGCCGTTGCACAACACTCGCAGTTCAAATAAATCGTTTAATTTTCATTGTCTTACAGGAGCCTATTTACCTGATCAGCTTTCAAAAAAGTGCAAAACACATCTTTTATTAATTGGTCGATAACTGTCTTCCTGAAAGGAGGGGGGAAGCTTCTCCGCTTTGAGAGAGGTTGTCAGTTCTCTGCTATTAGCAGAGCTCAAAGTACTGCTGTAGGCACTCCACCTAGTGGTTTACAGACCATTTATAATTAATAATGCTAATGTTCGCTTTAGCGAGAGCCAACGGAGCAGCCAGAATGCAGCCTCGAGACCTATAATGCATTTGCGAATGCCCTCATCCTTAAGACGGGGGCCCAAGCCTAGACACTTAATCTCAAAACGTGCCACAGGACTGCAAAAGCCACGGAAATTCAGATGAGCACCATGTGCTGGGACCACAAGACTGGCAGCCGGGTTTAAAGATGGCTCTTGATGTTGCTTTTTCTTCCTGCAATGGACGGAAAACAAACGTGCAAAGGCAGAAGCCTCCCACACGAACTTCTTGTGATAACGGCTGGGACCAGAGCTGCCAAAAGACACGATGCACCACAGTGAGTGGCAAACTAATTGTTTTAGGCAGCTGATTGCTCTTCCAGGAAAGTGGAAAAAAGGGCTTCCAATCCAGGGACACACAAATCTATCCTGCTGCGGAGTTAACAGCGGGCTCACTACTGACAAGTCATCCGATAGAACTTGTACAACTGCTGGAGGACTAATGAAGATTTCGTTTTGGTTTGTTTTTTAGGAAAGGAGTGCAGCTGGCTACAAGCATGTTGGGTACGCTTTGTTAAGGCAGCTTTTTGGTCACTCAAGGTTGCCTGCACATGAGTTTTTCATTCAAAGCCATGCTTGGCAAGTCACTTAGCTCACTTGAAAGGGAAAACAGAAAGAGCCACCTCTGCTGTCTATAGACCCATGAAACTGCAATATCGATAATGGCGCACAAATCTTTTACCTGCTGCCATTTACCAACAGGTCAGAAGGACAATCTACTTTTCTTTCTCCCCTTGCAAAGAGCCTGAGGAGAAGCACAGCCTAGATGCAAGGCTGGGCACTCATACCTGGGGCAAATAGAAGGTGAAGAGAATCATCTAGAATGACCTTGGAGACGAAGCACGTTCTCTCCCCTCCCATGAACACCAGAGGTGCTAGAGAAGTGATCTGCAAGCACAAGATATAGTAATGAAATCCAAGAAAAGGGAGGCTTTGGAACACAGTGCGGAGGAAACATTTTTCCACTGTGAAACTGTCCCTTCGAAATCCCCCGCCCTGCCTTCCTGCTTCATCCAGCACGAACGGAGGGCTGCTTGCTCCGTTTTCCGTAAGACCCAGAACCAAATTCCTTAGAAACAACGGCAGAGATGAAGAGGCTGGGCATAAAATAAACCTCATTGATGTACGATTCACTCCACTTTGTGGAGAGGTAAACAAGAAAAAAAAAAAAAAGGAGAGCTTTAAATCAGGATTTCTAAAGGTTACTGGCCGATTACACACAGGTCCTGCTAGGAGGGCAGCCAGTTCCTGGTGCACCACGTAAAGATTCCGACTAGGTGACATTAACTAAATTCTTCTCTATGACCACCATGGGAAAAAGTCACGTAAGGGTGAGCAACAGTGCCCTGATCATCTCTAAAGGTAAGGCAGTGTTTATCAGTGGGACTCAAGATCACCCATTTTGCCTCCCAACCCAACAGCAATACTGGGTGAGCAGTATCCACCGGGTGCAAGTAAGAAGTCAAGAGCCTGGAGGAAGAATGCAGCATTAGAACAGAAGGACAGCAGACATCATCCCAAATGACTTGAATACCCCGGTGCAGCGTAATGTGGGGGGGGGGGGGGGGAACAAACCACAAGGGAAAAACCCAGCACCATGCATTGACTGAAATTTCAGATCGTAACCCCCGTGGCAGGGAAGGACGTTCCTGAAGTCTTCACAGCCTTTCCAACTGATACCTCAAAGCAGAGCTGTACTCCAAGGAGGCTTTACGCTGTGCTTGGGGTCACAGGTCTGGCTGCTGTGACATCAGGTCTTTAATGGGTTTTAATCGCGTTCAAAAAGTCCCTCCACCACCCCCTTCTTGCCCTAAGCAGAAAGCCTCTTAAAGCCCAGGCCATACTCCTGAGACAACTGGAAGCCAGAACAGAGAGCAAGCGAGCAGCAGCCAGCCTTCCCTCAGGTGAGGTCTTAAAAATAAGGTGTTCAGGAAAGAAATCACTGAGCAAACTCTCCTGCATTTTCTGCCATCCCCTCCCCACATACATACTGCTTCATGGCTATCAGCTTGGAGTCCATGCTCTCCTGCTTTCCTTTCATCACCTGGATGTCAGTCAGTAACTTGGTTACATTGTCTTGCCGAACCTTTATATCCTCATTCTTTATACTGGATACCTGGAGACAGAAAGGAAGACGTCAGTGATGTTTCCTTCCTACAAAATGGTTATTTAAGCTTCAAAGTTGATACTGCAAATAATTCATCTCCCCCCTCTCGACCAACCGCTGCATTTACACCCGAGTGTGCATTGTGTCAAGGGACTAAAACCAGCCGTCTGCAAGGCAAGTTTTCTGCGAGCATATTGCTATTTGAAAACATCAAACTCTGTCGCAGCCTAAAAAAAAAAAGTATCTTTTTGGATCAGAAATACAGTGCTCAGGCCTGCACAAGCGCTGTCTGCCTATGCAAACCTTCAGATCTGAGGGTGGACATTCTTACCTACGACAATCCTAAAACTAAAACTTCGCAGCCACACAGACCAGGGAGCACATTTGCACTGAAGATAGGAAACATTCTTCTCGCGCGCTTCCAAAGGTCTCTGCTGCGTGCAGTGAACTGAATATCGGTCTTGGCAATGAAGAAAGTCATTAGCTGGTCTGAGAAAGAAAATCAGGAGGAAAAGGGCAGACGAGCTCACTGCAGCAGAGAGGCCTGCAGGCGGAATGGTAAGCCTCTTCCAGAGATCCCTGAGCAGCAGGCGGTCGCTCGAGATCCTCATCATTGCCACTACAAGTGTTAAAGCAGCTGAGGAGAAGATTCTGAGCAGACGATTTCATTTTTCTGATAAAATACTCACAAGAAATGACACCTAGGCACGTTTCACAAGAGCTGTACCACGTGAGAAGCCTATGAATCTGCCAACCATTACAGGGGTTAACACATCTCACCTATTCAACAGCAGCTTCTCTCCACTTCACTTGCCAGCAGGTCACATATCTTTAAGATCTCTTTACATCCTTCTAACGCGTTTGCCCACTGTGAAAATGTCTAGAGGAACTAAATGCCCCCGTGAAAATGGCACTTAACGGTTATTTGAGAGCACCCTGGGATAGACAGAAGAGCGAGCTACTCTCTCTACACATTGCTTTGATTAATATTTGGAAAAGAATGACAAAAACGTGTTTCTCCAGCCCACGCTTCAGGACTAATAAATTAGCCTGGAAAGTTCATAAGCATTTTTGGAACTCCCGATACCAGCTGTTGCTATACCATGTCTTCAGTGCATGTACTGCAATTCTGTGTGTCAAGAAACAGGGGCAGTGGTAAAGCACATCTGGGAGTTTAAAGGGAAAACGCGAAAGTTTCTATTTGGGATACACTGGAGGTTAACACATTTAAAATAATTCAGGTATCTTATCCTTCCTTTTCCTCCTTCCACTACTACATCGAACCTATCTTCACGTGTCTGTGTGTGTACACATCGTATGTATGTGTTTTTCATTCCCTGACGCATTTTAAGTAAAGACTGCACCTCAACTAGTGATCACTCTCCCTCCTACTGAAAGGTACAATTGCTCTTCAGTCTCTCCAGAGGACACAGCAAACTTCCCTCCATCAAGCTAAACTCAAACAGATGCTGCTCGTGCAGAAAAACGGGAAAAATATAGTGACCCTTTTTACTGAACTCGGAAACAATTTGGTTTGCAAGGCCAGAGTGCTGGCTGTTTTCTGTTGGTGGTGTGGGAGAGAGGGGAAGCCTCAAGCAGTGCCATAAAGAACCTAATGCTGAAAACATTGAGAAAAAGACCCACGAACAACAGGGACTGGTACCGAGAACCTGAAGCCAGCCGATTAGCAGGATGGCACTGCAGCTTGTACCTGGGTGAGAGGGCAGAGACAGCAAGAAGCGCTGCTGGCATAAAACAATAACCAATGACACCCGTGTCCATCAGCCCTTAGAGCACACTGATGCTTTTCAGATTAATCCTCTGTTTTTAAACAGTTTATCTAGAGCAAGATCTGTTGTATAAACTTACGCTGGTTACTTTCCTCTTGATGTTCTCCAGGAGATGTTCCTGGCCTCGGATGAAGTACGGATGCTGGAATTCAGTATCATCTTTCTCTGGCTTCACCAATCCTCCCTGCTCAATGTGGACAACCTTTCGAAAGCCATCTGAAAAATCAAAGGGTAGATAATTGGAGAAAAGCTTAACAGGCTAAGTGTGAACTTGAGAAAGCAGAAACTAGCACAAGTTACCCTTGTTCGCTTAAATACCCAGTGCTCTGTCACTGTGGTATTCCTTTCTAACCGATCTCATCCTAAAAATGCCACGTGGAATGAGAAACCCTCCCTTACATTGGCAGACATTCGGAGAGAGGCTTATGCTGATCCTCTCTGTACGGTCTGAACAGCAAGTGGTACGAGTCCTCTCCAGCCACCGCACCCTTCCCCTGCCGCTGTTTCTCCCCAGGAGAGCAGAGCCAGGCCACCGAGCTGCCTGCCTCGAGCAACAGCTTGACACAGATGGCTGAGAAGAGCAGGATCCACTTCTACATCCCAGAGTCATTTGAAAAACACCCTTTGCTGCTCCCGCAAGACCAGCTTGTGCTGATGTTTGGCTGGTGGCATGGGCCAGCAAGAGGAAAGGCTGAAATTACTGGAACTAAACCAAGAGTCTCAAATGAACCTCACCATTTCCTGATAAAAGCCCCTCATCCACAGGGAACTGTCCTGTCACATGAGTAAACAGCACCTTGCCTTGCCTCCTCAGCGCAGAGCAAGAGGACAGACACATATTTCAACAAAACTTTTTTCAAGAACACCACCAAAAAGAGACTCAAACATTGAGCACGCTCCCCAGGCAATCCCAGAGGGCTTATGTGTTATTTATTCAGGGAATAAAATGGTTTCTGAGAGCAATTAGCCATGTACTCAGCAACACACATGATGCAGATAAAGCACCACTGCCCATCATCTCATATACCAATGAAAACAGGAACATTTTGGAGACGAAACCATGCAAGTGTCCATCAGCACACAATGGGAGATGAGTTATTACCGCATTTAGTTGAACTCCCGAGCCCCTCCGTTCTCCGCTTCAGTGCCTTCTCGCTGCAGCACATGCTACCTTACCCTACAAGTCCGTGATGCCGAGTACTGTAGCTGGCACGCCTATAATACATCTGCACGTTCCAGGCACTGTGGGCACCCTGATCCTTAACCTGAAAATAGCGAGCCATTTTCTTATAGTAAAGGAGACCCCCAGGCACAGAAGGCAAATAAATGACTTCCCAAAGGCTTCAGAGCCTTTCCAGAAAACTTCTTCCTAAACGAGCTGTACAACACCACCAGGACAGAGCTGACAATCTCTGCGAACAGGGCTAGTAGCCCTGAAGCAGACACTCAAGTTACCAAGCTACTTCTCCCAAGTAACTGGCGATAGGACGAGGGGAAACGGCCTCAAGTTGCGCCAGGGGAGGTTTAGATTGGATGTGAGGAAAAATTTCTTTACTGAAAGAGTGGTTAAACATTGGAAGAGGCTGCCCAGGGAAGTGGTGGAGTCACCATCCCTGAAAGTATTTAAAAGACGGGTAGATGAGGCGCTGAGGGACATGGTTTAGTGGGCCTGGGGGTGTTGGGTTGACGGTTGGACTCAATGATCTTGGAGGTCTCTTCCAACCTTAATGATTCTATGATTCTGTGATTCTACTCGCCTTCGTACGAAGGCCCAAAATTCTTTTTTTTAACAGTCTACTCCACCTTAAGAAATGTAAGTCCATGTAGTTTTTCTTGTTCTAACCTGCGACTATTAAAAACATCCTGGCTGCAGGCAACTCCCCAGAACAACTGCGACAAGCACCGCTTTTGTTATTCCCAAGCGCCGCTTTTGTTATTCCCCTTCGGGTGAGGGTGACGGCGCAATTCCTCTGCTGCTGGGGAAGGGAAGGACGGGCACGCTGGAAAGTGCTTCCTCAACAGTTCAGGCAGAAGTTATGCACCAAAGCCTTCAGATGTACTTAAAACACCTAAAAGCCACTCAAGAACAGAGTGTGGCGCATCAAAGTATTTTTGGATGTCAGCATTTCCGTAAACCGCGAGGATAAATCAAGTGTTATTTAAGTTGCTCAGACCGCAGCTGCGGTTAAAAAAAAGAAAAGCTTCCTGCACTTGCAGCAGAAAGTGATTTAGAGAAATTACACGTTATTGTAGTGATATTAGCCAGTTTTCGGTTATTCAAGTGATCCTTAAAAACTAAAGGCCCCGGTCACGAAGCACAGAATGTGCCCCACAGCTATTCAAAGAGCTGGTGTTGAAAGGTAATGAAAATGTCATCCTTTCTAATAACATTGGAATGCTCTCTGCAGCCCACATCTGGAGCATTAAAGTTAATCCCTGATATAATCTCCACGTGAGAGGGGTATGAAAGGCATCCTTTATGCTGCTGCCTATCACAAGAACCCGCAGCCAAAAGGTAAATGCAGACCTGTGTGCGCGGGGAGGAAGCCGAGCAGACTGCCGTGAAGCAACGTCTCTGGGATAATCCCAGAGCGTTCCTGCTAGCTGGCAGGAAAGAGCAGCCACAAACGCACCCATCAATCTCGGAGCATTTACACAGTCAGGCAGTTCTCGATTTCCTTGCACATCCAAAGGATTAAACAGTGTAAGTTTGGAAAAAACGGAGCAAAAGAACATTACTTGACTAGTAGAGGGCAGGGGACCGGTGGCAGGGAGGTACTCGGTCAGCACTTTGGACAGTCTGAAGGGACCCAACCTGAAACACCAACTCGGATTCTGTTTGCTCACGCAGCGACCAGAACAGGGGTAGAGGTGTCCCTGGACAAAGCCTCCATCTGAGCTCGCGGCAGATGACTTTCTTTGCCTGTGGGTGTGCCCAGAAAGGTGACCAAGGCTCAGCACGCGCCGTGGAACCCCTGTTCCGGAGAATTTCATAACCCTCGCTCAGGTTTTGCATAGGGATCCACAGCCTGAAAGCTAGCTCGGAGGCACTCTTCACGTTACTGGACTATTCACCCAGCCAGGACAACGAAATTCAGATTTCCCTGTGAACAGGTAACGCAATTATGCTAAACACAAAGCGATTTGAGAAAAATGCAACAATAACTGCACGGCTCTACTAGAAACAAGCAAGTCCCCATAAACTAAGTGTAGAAAATCACGTTCCATTTCGGGTATCTTTTTCTTTCCCACATGCCCTTTAGCAATCCCCGTTCTTCAAGCAAACAGGACACGCAGCGTAGGGACAAACTCTGAACTTACTTTCAAGTTTGGACATACATCTGCCACGTCACTCAACTCTCAAATAAATTGAAATCCTCAAACTGCCACCAATCACAAGCTAAGAAATCCCTTTTATAATTCAAGTAAATCAAAGCCTCTGTAACACAGACTGGGGAGAACAGGATCAACGTTAAAGAACAGATTAAGCATAGGAAAAAAAGTTATAAGCACCTGAACACGGAAGTTGCATTTACTCATTTTCTAGTGCAAGACGTGAAGTCTGGCTTTCCATCGTCTCGATACTGCACCACACTATCATGGCAGTGTAACTGAACACGTAAGAAAGATCCAAAAGTCTGGTCGAGGGCAGGAATTGTGTTTGGAGAACCCAGCTCTTGAGGTCTTAAAAAATAAACCTCTCAGTTCCATGTCTGATCAGAACACGTTTTTTTTTCCAGAAATGCTGAACCACTTGGGAAAGGTGGTGTTAGAAAGACGTTTCAGCCCTGTCTCAGCTTGGTCCTGGAGATTTGTTACTTCTTTTCCCCCCCCTTTTTTAAAAGAACACCTTATCACTCAGATGTGCTTTTGCCCAATCACCTACTTCTGTTCCAGCTCTTCTATCCCTGCTATTGAAACACCTGGAATAACGTTATTCCCCTTGCCCTCCCCTGCCCTTTTAACATTACATACGGTGAGAAGGAACAGACCAGACAGCTTGCTTTCTTCTTATCATTCCCCAGTTACAAGTGTCAGCTGGAGAGGCAGCCTTTACCTTATTTTACAAGCTAACGCTCGGGTTGATCCCATTCCAAAGCGTTCCAGGACACGCAGGTACTAAAGGCACCTGCGGACATGTGCTTTGGAGGGAAGTATCACCCTCCTCCCTCCAAACGCAAGTCAGATGTGGTGACGGGACAGGCAAGAGAAGCGCAGCTGGAAAGCTCACGTTGAGGAGGGAAGCAAAGCTGCCGAAGGAGCCTGTCCTTCTGCAGGGCGACCTCCCACCCCCCGCCTGCAGACGGGAGCAGAGCCTTCCTACCTGCCAGGGAAAAGAGCTGCTGCGCCCGCCCTCCAGCGAAAGAAACGGCGAGCAAGGTGAAAAGCACCGACGAGCGACACTCTGGAGGTGTCCGGCCGTCCCCTGTCCAGGCACACGTAAGTAGCCCAATGACATCCTTGTTCTCCTGGCAGGTTTTGATGTTTTGGGCATACCTCTCCTCAACTGTGATGGGAACTGGAGTACTCCCTGATTCTCCGGGAACCCTCGACCCTTCTCAGAGAGCTATGCAAGCAGGTGCCGCTTTTCACGGCAATAAAACCCCGAAAAACAAAAAAACCCCCAGAAGACAAGAAAATGTCAGGTTAAACCGATTTAATTTTCTTCCATCACAGAGTAGCAAGCTTTATCAATAGAAAAGCAGAAGACATCTCAACCAAAGCATGACATCCTCAAAGCAGCAAAATCCGCAAGATGAAACTGATATAATATGGGCGTAAACCCAACAGAAAAAGCCTTATTTAGGGAGCAGTTAGCAAAAAATATTGTCGTGCTGCGTGTAAGAGCGTGGGCGCAGGCCTATGCAGCACCTTCATTAATGGCGTGAAGGGACTGAACAGAGCACGTTTGCTGAACTGGCTGGTAGAACAGCTGGGAAGAGCCGCAGGTACGTCTGTGGAAAGACACGCGACTGCAATTCGGAGTGATTCTGACAAGAGGAACGAAAGTCACTACCGACAAATACGAGGTACAACTCTGAGGCAGGAATAAAACCAAACAGATATGGGAGGGGAAACCACTGGGTAGAGAGTAGCTGAGCAGACGGTGATCTGAACGCCGCAGCGGATCACGGGCTGAACACCGAAGTCAATGTCACGCTGCTGAGGAAAAGGCCAATGCCACAGTGGGATATGCACAGAAGTATCACCTTCGACACAGGAGTTACTCTTTTTGTTCTACCCCGTTACACCCAACGTTGGCCACTGCACTTCAACAAAGAGACGGAACAAAGTCAGTTCAGAAAGGAATGCAAATGATTAAAGGCTGGAAAAGAATCTACAGGAATTAAAAAGACAGGATGTTTGCTGGAGAAGGGGAAAAAAGGGGGGA